CACACACACACACACACACACACACACACAGCCTCTCGACAATATGCGTTTTTGCTGGCTGTAGCATTTTTATGCGTTTTTGCTGTGCAGCGCTCTAGCGCTCTAGCGCTGCACAGCAAAAACGCATAAAAATGAATATTTCTATTTACTGTGGACAGTATAATCTAAACTTACAGTAAGCCGAGGCTTCTGCTCCGCCAGTGTGACAGCTAGCCTTTTTATAATTTGTTCATTTCTTTCGATGGTAAATTGGTAGTGATATATGTATCAGGGAGTCAAATTCGTCGTCAGCTCGCTTCTAAACAATTCTCGATAAGAGGAAGCAGTCGACAGCCTTGCTCAGCTGGTGGTTAATATAGGCATGTGTTAGTATTGAGCTACTTTACGGGTGTCTTCGCATCTCGTAAAGAGCGAATGCGGGTAACGGGTCGACTCTGACGAATAGTTTGTACCGATTTTACTTAAGAATTTTGAGATTGAAAAGTTGTTTACAAGGACACAAATAAAATGACTTTATCTAAAGCGAAGTGCTTGCAAACTAGAGATTATTTGCTAATTAAAAAGGAAATTCGTTGCGTGAAGCGAGCAGCAGCGGTGAGGCAGTGTGCAAGCGTCTTTCCATTTTACGTAAGAGCTCTAGCCCAAAACATTTTATTCATTGAGAATATGAATAAATTATAAAATCAACCAGCTAGTCAAAGAAAACAAAAGTGGGTAAACAAGCATTAAAAATTTGTATTTCTGAGCCCAGTCTTACATGGGGATGAAAAGGTGGGATGTCATTTGCTGAGTTGGGAGGCTCAGAGGTATGGGCAAGCGAAAGGGGAAAGAAAGGAATGCAAGGAAAGAAAGCTGTGGACCTGCTTTTAACGGTAAGGCCCCAGGTTTTTTTGAATGTCGCGGAATAGTACTTCATTTTACTTTCGATAGTACCTCATTTTAATCATTATCTTTCAGTACCTGCTGTTATTATGCCGCACATAATTCAGCTCGATTATCATTAAGACTCTTCGGAGAACGTTGGGCTTTTGCTCATAGCTTGGTGTCTTTGTAGAAAAGTGTTGTAAACGTTGAGGGGATCAGTTTCTTATAGCTGCTGACGGGTCATTTCTTGAGCCGAAGTACTTTGTCCATCTCTGATCTTGTCCGAAATAATTCTGATAATCGCATTTGTTCAGATTATGTGCAGCGCGTCAACAGAAAGTTGTAATCGAGCCGCAAGATGTTGGCGCTTACTACTATCGGCATTGTTTTGTCGGACGTCGTATGTTATCTCTTTTCACTTTAAGTTTCGCTGGTTGAATGTTTTGTGGGACTAGCGGCGTGTCACTTTGTAATCCTGGCGCATTTGATTTGCCACTTGGCTTAAGCAAGATGCGCTTGATATTTGCGTGCCATTTCTGTGCCATGCATGCGAAACAGGAGGGAATGGAATTGAACTGCTCACCTTCATAACCTACGAATTCGTAGAACTGTACTTCGAAAATCGTTACACCGCCAGGCTTTGCGATCCAGTACAAGCAATTGGACTCTTTCTGTTTCATGTTTGATGTGACGTTTCTTTCGGCAGTCTTATGTTTCTTGTGGGATTAAGCAACATTTTTATTTCATTTGTTTTTGGCTGATTGTAGCAAATGTTTCAGCGCACTGGAATTTTTTTGGTAACGACGAGGCTTATGGCCCAGTAGTTATATCAGTGGTGCGTGAGCATATCGAACGTAAGGAAGCGAACGGTATCCAGAATATCACCATATACCGAATGATTATCCGGATTAGTGATGTATGCATTTTCTTTTTGTGAAGTAATGCATTTTTAAGTGATATTTTAGATACGTTTTCTTTTTCTGGAATGGGAGACGATTTTGGGAAACTAGACTAAGA